GTCAAAACTCTTTTTCATCTGTCAATTATTGCATCATATGAAACTGAAACATTCAGCTCTGAGCATTATTCCTCTGTGCATTCAGCATGCGTGTTGGGTATGTTAACATGTGCAGCAGAGTTGGAAGTCGAGTTACATTTTTTGTTATTTTAGTCATTGCAGAATGGATTGGATTGAAATGGAGATACAATAATGACACTAGTTAACTGCAACGTTTTCATCGGTCCTACAGAAATTTGATACAGAGTTGCTAAATCCTTCTGTAGATCTGGTGTGAATTAATGGCTCCAAACCTGAGGCTCCCAGAGATCCGGCTGGCTCCAACTGGATGTTAATTACGTGCCCACATTGGTTTAGTTATTCTTGTAGCAGGTAAAATGAGTGTAACAAGTTAATTCTTTCAGATTAGAGGAAGAAAAAAATATTGGTCCTCTTTTCAGATGAGGGAGAAAAAATGGCATCTTAATTTCATTTTTTTCCGAAGGAAAAAGAAAGGAAGCTATGTAGGTAATAGAAGAAAGAAAGACAATGAAAGGATACAAAGAGACAAAATAAGTAGATTGTATGGAAAGGAGTAAAGAAAAAAAAATTATATTGGAAAAAATTAACTGGAAAGTGTATTCTATCTTATAAGCAGAAAATATTAAGATAGAAAACTTGAAAGGCACAGGTGCATTAAAACACCAAATGCTGTGCAAAGGGACAAAAAGTAAAATTAATTAGAGGGGAAGGCATAATTTTAAATTGAAGGGGGAGATAAGTGCATATGATATTTTAAAATATTTTCTCTTGAATAATCAGCAGCATGTATTTGAGTTTGTACTTAAGAATGACTTAGATTTTTAATAGATACAGAATTAGTGTTACCAAAAATCATATCACAGTGATCAGCAGTGTCACTAAAAACACAGGTAAGGGTTATCAAAGTTTTATTTATGTAACCCTTCATTGATATTTAATTTATTTTAAAAAAATAAAAAACAAAAACAAATCACAAAACCACAAGCCAAAGAGTGAACGCCATGAACACCATGAATTCTTTAATAGCATCTTAAGTTTAGGAGACTGACTGATAAATAGATTAATTATGTCAACATGAAAATTAATTGTTTGAAGTAATGTTGTTGTTCTTAGGCATTTCTCTGTGCAGGAAGCTGGGAAGGAAACCACAGTCTTTGGTAATGCTTGTAGATGCCAGTGGCTGGTCAGCTACTGATCCATTGCCATGTCACCTGCACAGCATCCTCCTGGAGCCCTTTTCATGTCATTCAATTCTAATTTACCATCAGCTATCATAGCTTTATCATGCACATTCTGAAATTGGCACTGGAGGCTTGACATAAGACCACAGAGGCATATAAATTCCAAGTTAAAGCTAAAATTTCATTCTCAATTATCTTGGTTGTGGGGCTACTGTGGAGCACATGGGAACACCCAGTGTTTGAAGGCCCAGCTGGACCCACACACAGAACAACAAGCTGAGCGTGGAATTTCAGCCCAAGCCCTACCGCTAAAGCCACGGAGCTCTTTGTGGTTGGATTTCTCCTGTATGGCACTGTTAGAGGCAGAAAAAAGCCCAAGTCAACCCCAGAGTTATTTTAAACTATGCTTACAAGAATCTTGTAGTAGTAGTAATAGATTCTTCTCACCCATTGTGCCTCAGAAATTTAAATTTTTGTATCCAGCTTGCCTTGAGCTTGCACTGTTGGAAACTGCTTAGGTGTTAGATTACAGATACCTTAATATCTGAGGTTCAGCCTTAAATACATAATTATTTCTTACATAATTATTTTTTACAGTATACCTGTCTTTACTTGAAACTCATTTTGTGGTAAAACTCTGCTTTTTGTCCAATACATGCATTTTTATGAGCAAAATGAGCTTTCACAGTATTTTTTAAAATGTCAAGAGTGTCAAATCTTTTTTATCTGAAGGACTCATTGGATGACTCAGGAAAAACTACTTAGAAATTAGTCAGGATTTAATTGAAGTGGGAAGGATACTGAATTGTGAAGAAAGAGCTTGCTTCCCTCTGCACTCATTAGATCAGTACTTCAAAAGAAGATCAATCTTAATTTTAAGTGATTGAATCAGCCTTTTCTTCAAAACATAATTTTTATTTAATCTTTGGTTAGGCACTTGGAATAATGATTAGAATAGTTATTCAAACATTTATCTCTTCTAAGAACAAATAGGAGTTATGCTTATAAGTTGGCTTTTTGGTTGTTTTTTTTTTTTTTTCAAAAAACAGGAGCTTCCTACTTCTTCCCATGTATTTCTATCCTTTACCAGCTGTCTTTGGTGGGTCTGGCATCCCTGCTTATTGAAGACTTGGAGAGATATGTATTGGTGAAGAAATTAATGGTGAATGAGCTTTTAAATGAGGTGGTAGCTGCTCTAGCTGAGCTCATGCTCATGTCCTGAAGGGTGTTCTTTGCAGATGACAAATTTCCTTAATAGTGACAGGATGTCAGGAATTTTGCAAAAGCTTAGAAAAAAAAGTAGGAGATGGCACAGCTGATTTATTCCGTCCTGTTTCGTTCTCATTTGTGCTAGTTTTGAAGCTGATGTTCATAAGAAGTTAGCCACGGCTGTTTTACAAATCAGGAATGCCAGTTTCACAAAAAGAAAAGGGTTTGATGAGTCCACAATCACATTATTGTAATTCTGATGGGAATAGGTTCCTTTCCAAATACAAGGCACCCTTCAGAGTTAATATGTGAACATGTGAACACAGAATCACAGAACAAGCTGAGTTTGAAGGGATCCATTAGGATCTTCAAGTCCAAGTCCTAGCACTCCACAGAACACCCCAAGAGTCACACCATGGGCCTGAGCACACTGTCCAAATGATCCTGGAACTCTGCCAGGCTGGTGCTGTGACCTCTTCCCTGGGGAGCCTCTTCCAGTGCCCAACCACCCTCTGGGTGAGGAACCTTCTCCTAATACCCAACCTGAACCTCCCCTGACACAGCTTCAGGCCATTCCCTCAGGTCCTGTCGCTGGTCACCACAGAGAAGAGATCAGTGCCTGCCCCTCCTCTTCCCCTCACAAAGAAGCTGCAGACTGCAATGAGATTTCCCCTCAGTCTTCTCTTCTCCAGGCTGAACAGACCAAGGGACCTAAGCCTCTCCACCTACGACTTTTCCTCAAGGCCCTTCTCCATCTTTGTTGCCCTCCTTTGGACACTCTCTTAACAGCTTAATACCTTTCTTATATGGTGGTGACCAAAACTGGTACCTATGGATTTCAGTTAAAATTGTTGACTTCTGAAATTCAGTGTTCTGTTATCAGTAACAAATTTAGCTTTAGACAGAATTCAGATAAATACTGCAAGACTTATGAAACTTGAAAATCCAGTTGGTTTGAACATTAGAATTTGCTTTTTACTTCTTGTCTAAAGTATTTTTTTTGTATTTATGCAGAAAGATTGCTTTTCATTACATAATTTTGGTTAAAGGACAACTGTGAAACCATTTTGAACTTTTTTTAAAAATTTGCCATTGGGGAAAAATTGCTTTCGTTACTGTGAGAAGGATGTGATTTTAATAAGAATGCAGCATGTTAATACCCAGCAACCGTGAAATACTCATTTGAGATTTGTTGAGTCTTGTTAACTAAGCAATTATGGAGTCACTTGTCCCCTAAAGTTTTAAAAAGAATAAAGCTACATTTGTTGCTACATTTGATTTGTTTTTAAGCAGTATTTTCCAGAACATGCAGGTCTGAACAGCAGCAGTGCGCTTGGATTGTAGGCCATGATAGAGCTCTATACTGTAAAAAGCTTAAAGCAGTTCTCTCTAAACCAAAGCAAGTCTTGGCTTCAGATACTTAGAGTTAGCCCATATTTTCCTTACATATCAGAATATGACTGTTTTAAATCTAAATTATTATGAGTATTGGTTTTTTCTTGTTGTTGGTTGAAGGGATCCCACCCTGCATTGAAACCTGAGGTTTGAGGCAAACATGCTACAAGGGAAAACTCAGATTGACTGTAACAGGTGCTTGTTGCCTGTCATTCAGTGAAATACTTTAACAAGTCCTTAATGCTAACACAGAGCTGCAAGGCATGGGATTAAATGGCAAGTTGAAGCCTTCTGTTTGGAAATACAATAATATATAATATGTGACAGTAATTGTTCATGATTAATGTTCAAATACACACCGTGTGTGTTCTGAATCTTAGAGTTTCTCATTTTCCTGTTATCACTTACCATCTCTGAAATCCTGAAGTATAAATACCTCTGTTTCACTGGGTCCATGTCCTCTTTTGCTGCCAGTAAGTGCTGGTGCTACTCATCAGAGTATTGCCAACTCTTGTGGTTTTCATCCTGAGTGTCTCAATATTAATGAGGAGCAGGTCTAGTTGGAGATTTTTTGTTTGCTTGACTAGTTGAATCTTTGGTTTTGGTGGTATAATCTCTGACTCTTTTGTTGGTGTTTTCATTGCTTTTCCCATTTTTTGACTTCTCTGAAAGACAGGCCTATATTTAAACTAGAATATCATTATTCTCCCATCTTAGGAGTTGCTTCGTAGTTCAAAACTTAACTTCAGGAATAGCTCATTTGCATGGATACTCAGCACATTTCAGCCTTTGCTGAGCCAGCCACTAACCTGGCAAAATCTATTTACTGTTTGGTGGGTTTAGGTTTTTGTTGAGTTTTCAAGCTGTATTTGGCTCAGCAAGAGCCCAAGTAGCACAGCTGGCAAACAAGGAGGTGCAGGAGACATGGCTGAGAGCAGGGGAGTGGAAAGCAGGATCAGCCTTAGGTGACATTGAGCCATTAATTTGGTTCACGTGCTCTCAGTGAAGCCAAAAAGTACTTTGACTATCATGTAAGCATGTCATTCTTTAAGACTGTGCCATAAAAGCTTTTACTGCTGGTAGCTTTTTGTTGTGGCTACCCACAAAATACTGAGGTTGGTTAAGATTGGGTATAAGGTTTTTTCTAATTACATCTTTGGTCTACAAATGCAGTGGACTTTTTCTCTTTTTCAGAAGGAAGATGTCATTCATGCAGATGTGGATGAAAGGCTGTGTCTTCGAAAGCACCGCTTCATGCATTTTGCATCGTTGGAATATGAAGGAGAATATTACATGACACCAAGAGATTTCTTGTTCTCAGTAATGTTCGATCAAGTTGAACGTAAGTTGTTTTCTTGTCATTGTATTTGTGAAGGAGAAGAATCTTGCTGGTCCCCTTAGAGATGTCATTTGCAAATCACTGGGATAAGATCCTTTATGTTACATAAATCAGCAGAAGCCAATTTTTCAATGTTGCCCATATGGATTCTCACAGACACCGCCACCCTTTACACAAGTGAAGTGAGGCTGATGATTTAGAAATCTGCTGACTTGCTGATGACATCTCTGCATAATTTACATGACTGATCAGTATGTAGTTCCTCAATTGCTTACATGCCACAGAAAATAGAATGAATGTATTATAATAGTGTTCATACCATTCCTGGTCCTGTTATCTTCTATCCACTTCACCAGCAAGTAATTCTGTGACCTTTTTTCTTAGAGGAGGCAGTGATGGGAATGAGTTAAATGAGAATAATAGAGCCCAGAGTTCAGTTCTACATTTTTGGTTTTAAATCTTCTTTGATTTTTACATAACCTAGTTAAGAACAAATCAAAATCACAAGTGTCTTTTCAAGAAGAACTTTTAAAAGTGTACTTTCTGAGGAGAAGATAGGAACAACACACAAATAAAAAGTGCATGGGTTGTTTTCCTTTTCTGCAGATTTTCTGGTTTCATTAATTCTCTCCCATTCCTTAAGGTTCTTTCATCTTTGTATCTTCTTCTGTTATTTCCATTATACCATTATGTTTTTAATGATATATGCTTTTTTTCCTCAAAAAATTGGGTTTTATAGTTTTCCCAATTTTTTTTTCTTTTGAAAAGTTAAGTTTTCCAGTTTCCAGAGAGGATTGTCACTTAGAGGACAAATACTCTGTTAGTTCACCTGCTGAGGGAAAGAGGGAGAAATCCCAGCTTTAGTAGTTGTTTGCTGCAATCTGCACATGCTGACCAGGAGAACATGTTGTCCAGCAAAAGCCATTCAAAGCCTGGGATGCTCTGCCCCCCTCCCAGCAAATGCTCTAGTGACTTGGTAGTATTGAACTGGAAATCCTGAAAGGAATTCAAGGCCCTGTGAGAGGGTTTGAGAGACAGGGAGAAAGAAAGAGACCAGAAAGCACTTTGATTGAAGCCTGTCGAAAATCTAGGGCAGAAAGCAGTTTAAAAGAGCTGCAAGTAGTCAAATAGGACAATTATTATTAGATAGAATTATTGGTAATAAAAGAAGTTTTCCAGTATCTGCCAAAAATCTGTAGGTGATAAGGATACATGAATTCACTGCTGACACAAAGCTTCTAATATTACACAAAGCTGAATATAAATCCTTAGAAGAACTTTATGACCTTGAGAGTCATGGAGATTTTTAAAAATGCTGTGTTTTAATTGTATGGGTGTTAGACTTCGTTCCCCCTCAAAACTTAAATCATTAAGTTAAAAACATGAAAGGGAACTTATTTTGAGTTTTCCAGCCTGAAAGACAGTGTGTACAGAAAATGTTACTTTTTAAGGTGTGGTTTTCAGACAGTTGTGTCTGAAGACAAGGTTAGAGAGATAAATGTTTTTCAGTACTAGCCATTCATCCATATTAATTGGTTACTCCAAGTATAACAGTACACATGCAGATTTTTAATGAAGTGGTATGGGGTGATATTTATTTGTAATGCAGCCAAGTTAATTTCAGTTGCTTTGCTAATATGAGTAGGAAATAGCACTAAACAGAAGCGAATAAATAATGACAAGAAAAAAACCTTTGCTCTAATGCATATTTAGCATTTCAAATTGAGGTCAGGCTTGCAGCAGTCATCATAGATGCTTGATAGAAAAATGTTGACGCTTGAATCTAATGTTCCTAAATATTTTTTTAACTGCCCTTGGTATGGGTTTTTGGCCAGTAGCATAAACACAGTGGAAAGCAATTCTCTTGATTTCTCTTGCTTGGAAATTTACATTTTTATGTGACTGCAAACAGACACAGACTTTGATAGCAGAGAAATATGGCACTTGAAGTATTTTAAAGGAAGTGGTTTTATTAATTGTGTTTCAAAGAATTTCATATGAGGAAAATAAACAGACCTGTTTCAAGTGTCTGTCATGATATATTCAGAGTAGGTCAAGATAGTGAACTTAATCGCAAAGCAGCAGTTATTTTGGAAGCTTTCTGCTTATATAATAAAGTAATTCTCTTTCCCCCTGAACAGTGCCTTTAGAAAGGAGAAAGGTATGACAACACTTATCCTAGAAAGCTCTTCACTTACTGCATACTTAGATGCAATTTTAACATGTGATCCCGCATGCATATGGTGAGTCTTACAACGCTGAACTTCAAGCTTTAATGATTTGGTTATTCTCTACCTATTTTTTATTAATTGCTAATAAGTAAAAAAATCCAAACCTTCCAGCAAAATCTGAAGCACCCTGGCAGTAACCATTCATCTTCATAAATATTTGCTAGGAGTTTTCCAATTGAAAGCTGTTTATGGTAATATGGAAGACATAGGGCCGTTCTAAAGTTTTGTTTCTGCTGTACTTTTTACAGACAATATGCAGAAACATATGGCCAGCCTCATGAGCAGTTTAGTTATGTACATCATTAAATACTGCTGAGGTTGATCTGTCCCTCTTCAGAGATAAACACTCCCACAAGGGAAAAAGGCAAGCAACAGGAGGGATGAAAAACACATCTGAATTGAGAATAGGAGACATTGGCTGGCCAGCCAGCCTGAGGTTTTTTTGCTCATGGGTGGTTGTCACTGGAGAATTACTTTGAAATTTCCTTTTATTTTTTAAATATAGTCAAATTTAGTAGAAAGTAAATGTGGTGTTGTGTAAACCAGAAGAATTGTTGGTGCTAGCATTAAAAAATACCAAAATATTTCAGCTATGTGCAGATTGTCAAGTGAATTCCTGTACACAGTTGGGTGGAATTTATTGCTGAAGCAAAAATCTTAGGTGTGGCCTTTGAAAAGGTTGCAAAAGAGTCAATAAATTATAATTTATTGTGGAACACTTTACCAGATAAGAAAATGGATGAATTGTACAGCAAATATATCAGCTGTCATCCAGCATAAGTGATCTTGAACCCTGCCTGGTAGACCTTAGCTCACTACCTCTGGTCATTTATTTCCTGGTGCATGGGTTTCTCTATTGCTCATTTTCTTTAAAATAGGCAAAAGTTGTGAAATGTTTGCATTCCTGTTAATTAAATCACACCTTCAAAGTTATTTACTGGGAGGGTGAAAATGAAGAAAAATATTTACAGTACTGCCATGTGAGGAGGATGAGCTGATAACAAATGCAAAGTCTCCTGACAGACTTTTTGTTATGCATATTGACAAAGCAAAGAGCTCTATAAAAAAATAAAGACACCGTCCAAAAAAAATTTGCTTGCTTTTAGAGGCAGTGCTTCTAACATCAAGTTACTCTGTAAACATGTGCCTTGTTCTATTACTGTTAGTTATTTTATGAAAGGAAGCAGCCACCTCTTTATAAACAGTGACAAACAGTAAATGAGGTGTGGTAGTGTGGTGCAGCATTTGTGCCAGTGCAAAACTAATATGGCAGCATTTTTTCTACCAGTTAGTTCAGTGCATTCTGAATGCACCATTGGGGATTTTGGATTCATGGCTATATGCCATGTAATCTTGTGTTAAAACTGTTACCTCAGGGATGTGTGGCAAACCATTGCAAAACAAGCCAAATTCTTCTGGGTAATCTGTGGGATGTTCATGTACCCGATGCATTCATACCTGACGCAACAATAGTTTAGTGAAAACGTGTTCCCTGTTACTGTTCTTACTGTGATGTAAAAATACTTCACAATGTCTAGTAATATCTAATACAAATAATATAAACTTGCTGCGTTGCATCCGAATTCTGGCATTTAACATCACAGGTACGGGGAGGATAAAATTCTGCTGATTTACACTGAATTTTCACTGCAGTGCCGGAGCATTTTCGAGAGACCCTTCATGTAAAATTTGTATCTTAGACAGTTGTGCATACTTAGGCTCATATTCCAGATTAGACAACTAATGCTGTGTTAGAGCTCCATGGAAATACCACCGTTGATGTGCTGTTGCAGAACATACAAGAAAATATGTATTGGTCTTTGAAAAGGACTGTAAGAGTCCTTCAGGAAATGAAGATGTTGCAATGCATTGAATCTGAACTGTGCTTATGTTCATTTTTTTCTGGAGAAGATTATTCCTCTTCCAGGCAGAAGACAAACCTTCAGGTTACCTTGTCTGATAACAATTGACACTTGCTAAATAAAGATCTTGATCCTTCTTTCTCTGCTCAGTCCAGATTTAATGTGTTGTAGCATCTTCATTCATTCAGCTGCAGTAAAAGAGATGATCTTCCTGTGTTCCACAGTACCAGGGTACCAGAGGCAGTATTTCCATGGCAAAGTCCTGTCTGTCAGTGAGGATAAGTGTGTTCTAAGTTCCCTTGGAGAAGTTGTTCAAGTTGGTTAAGCTTTCTGTGGGGGCACAGTTGGTGCAAAGTTGTTTTGTGTTTGCAGCCTTGATATGATGTGTGGCTTCCTGTCACAGCATCAGCGTGGTCATGGCTGTGAGGGAATCTGAGGAAAGGACACAGTGCAAGGCTGTGGTACCTGAAAAATTGAGTTCTCCATTGTCCTTAGTTGAGGTCAGTGCTGGTGCAGTCAGTGGTGTTAGGAGGGCCAAGAGGGACCAGGCAGTAGATGAGCACTTTGGAATGAGCTGAGTCAGTCTTTTTATTTTTGGGTCTTGAGTTTTTTGCCTTTGGCAGGGGTTCAGATGCCTGTACTTCAGTGTCTTCATTTTGACCTGAATTTCATAGGCGATAGCTAATGAGACTGATGTGAGTCACGCATCAGTGTCAGATCTAAAATCTGGGGTTCAGAGTCAAAGAATAAGATTGAAGCTTGTATAAATGGAGAAGCTTTATATGGGAAGTGGGGATCGAAGTGTTGCATGGGGAGCCATTGAAACAGCTGGGAGCTGAATTCAATTTTCTCCAATTTCTAATGTGTTAACAAAAATTTGTTTTCTATCTCTACATTTAGTGGTTTTTTA